GGTGTGGGCCTGTTGCCCCCTGCCTCGCTAGCTGCCAACCCGCTGACCCACTGCTGCTTGTTGCCGCAGGCAAGACCATCACGCTCGAGGTGGAGTCTAGCGACACCATTGAGAACGTGAAGGCCAAGATTCAGGTGGGGTTTGGGTTGGGGCATGATAAGTGGCTGAGCATTTGGAGCGTGTGTGTCCCATTGCTGGCCTTGCAGAAATGCATCCCCTTCCCGCCATTCACGTCCCCCTCTCACTCGCACGCCTGTGCCTCGGCTGCCGCAGGACAAGGAGGGCATCCCCCCCGACCAGCAGCGCCTGATCTTTGCGGGCAAGCAGCTTGAGGATGGCCGCACCCTGGCTGACTACAACATCCAGAAGGAGTCCACCCTGCACCTGGTGCTGCGCCTGCGCGGCGGCATGCAGATCTTCGTCAAGACGCTGACGGGTGAGCGGGCCTGGCAGGGAGGAGTGCTTGGGTTTGTTGGCACGGCAGGCTGCAGCGCAGCGGCAGCGGTGTGGGCCTGTTGCCCCCTGCCTCGCTAGCTTCCAACCCGCTGACCCACTGCTGCTTGTTGCCGCAGGCAAGACCATCACGCTCGAGGTGGAGTCTAGCGACACCATTGAGAACGTGAAGGCCAAGATTCAGGTGGGGTTTGGGTTGGGGCATGATAAGTGGCTGAGCATTTGGAGCGTGTGTGTCCCATTGCTGGCCTTGCAGAAATGCATCCCCTTCCCGCCATTCACGTCCCCCTCTCACTCGCACGCCTGTGCCTCGGCTGCCGCAGGACAAGGAGGGCATCCCCCCCGACCAGCAGCGCCTGATCTTTGCGGGCAAGCAGCTTGAGGATGGCCGCACCCTGGCTGACTACAACATCCAGAAGGAGTCCACCCTGCACCTGGTGCTGCGCCTGCGCGGCGGCATGCAGATCTTCGTCAAGACGCTGACGGGTGAGCGGGCCTGGCAGGGAGGAGTGCTTGGGTTTGTTGGCACGGCAGGCTGCAGCGCAGCGGCAGCGGTGTGGGCCTGTTGCCCCCTGCCTCGCTAGCTTCCAACCCGCTGACCCACTGCTGCTTGTTGCCGCAGGCAAGACCATCACGCTCGAGGTGGAGTCTAGCGACACCATTGAGAACGTGAAGGCCAAGATTCAGGTGGGGTTTGGGTTGGGGCATGATAAGTGGCTGAGCATTTGGAGCGTGTGTGTCCCATTGCTGGCCTTGCAGAAATGCATCCCCTTCCCACCATTCACGTCCCCCTCTCACTCGCACGCCTGTGCCTCGGCTGCCGCAGGACAAGGAGGGCATCCCCCCCGACCAGCAGCGCCTGATCTTTGCGGGCAAGCAGCTTGAGGATGGCCGCACCCTGGCTGACTACAACATCCAGAAGGAGTCCACCCTGCACCTGGTGCTGCGCCTGCGCGGCGGCAACTGAAGCGCGTGAAGGGATGTGACCCCTGGTGGCGGAGCAGCCCTAGGCCGCTCGCCCCGCGCTCCCTGTACCTGAAACCCAGCGCACTGTACCTTCCCCTGTATGCCAGCCCATGTAACTTGTGTGTGCGCTAGTGTGAGAGAGAGGGCAAGGGCCAGCAGGCACTGAGGTGGACGATTGGAAAAAGGCACGTGTGCAGCAAACGCAAGGTAATGCTGATGCCTCTCCCAGCACTCTGGTGGCGTGCTCCAGCTGCCGCCCGGGTTTGCTTGCATGCCTCTCGGAATGGCAGGATTTACATCGCATCGTCGAGTGGCAGTTTCAAAGAGCAGGCAGCACACACCCTTGCCCTTGTTGGCAAAATGAAATGATTCAAAGGGCGGCTAGTGTTCTACGCAAG